TTTATACACCAAACAGACAGACCACATCCTACCATTAAATAGGAAACAATGTTTGTACAATATTTAGTCAAATGTAGCTATGAGTGTAGGAGACAGTAATTAATAGACTAGAGATAACTCAAGAATGGTAAATCATATGATAATAGTTCATAGATCAAAATAAAGCTTATAATAAGAGGGACACGAATATGGATACTTTAATTACTTGACAGTTATACAATAGGAAATATACGTATCATATTGGTTCATAAACAATCCTCAAAGTTATCATTCATAATTCTCCACGGGATATAGCATTTTTATTGACCATTTGTCTACCAGAATGTATTATGGTGCCATAAAACACTATCACTATTTTTGAGCAACTTGTTTACTTTAAGTAATCATTTCGTATAAAATGAAAACAGAGATGATGATTGTCATATCACTAGTATCATCCTTATCATCATACTTATTATGAGAAAGTAAAAAATAAAATTATAAACTGTTCAATAAGAAAAATATTTATTATCACAACTAAGAAGAAAGCATTTAATGCTTGAAAAGCAAAAAAAAACAACCCAGTTTTAATGATCCTAAGTAAAAATATTTCAAAATTGGAGGGAAAATTTTCAATTTTTTTCTGTTTTATTTTTCATTGGTAGTGAAATTTTTTTGAGAATTATTTGTCTTAATTTACTCATTATTGAATTATATGTGCAACTTGATAATAAATATGAATTTGATAGAAGTAACAAAAGAGAGAAAAGGGTAATAAAAACCTTTTTTATTATTATTATTATTATTATCTGTAAATATGATTGTTGATTATTCATTAAAGTCAATTAAATGGTTTGAAAGAATTATGCCAATTATATTAGACGATAAAGAACGAATAACAGTAAATCTATTTCATCCAAACTGTAAAAAAGAAATACGTGTTAACTGAAGACATACCATTATGTATTTATATTCATAATAAAGAAAGCCAGAACGAAGATTAGTTCTTTAGGTTCTCATCAGCTCCCCCACAACCTATAATATTTTAAAATCAACGTTATTACAGATACTGACATCTTTATACATACAAGGGTAATTAAATATAAATATGTGTATGATGATGTGGAGAAGTTGATACACTGAAGTTCTTCAAGATGATTAAAAAACCATCAAACTCTAAGATTTTTAAATTTCCCGAAGAGATAACAATCAAACGTGTAAAACTAGATTACCTTACCCAAAAAGAGGCGGTCATAAATGTTTCTTTATCATGGTAACATTACTCCCCCTTATTTATTACGTCATTTATTATTTTAAGTTTAATTACATCATTGTCATTTTCCTTCATTTCATAACTGACTGGTTTCAATTCATATCATTCTTTATTATCATTATTCTATTTTCTGTTGCTTCATTACATAATCATCTAATGTTTGTTAACTCCATGAGTTCTAATCGCCATTTCAATGTTCTGCAACTTTCCCTCCCGAACGTTATTTATTTATCAGGAACAAAAATGTTTTATGAGCTCATTCACTCTATTGAAATCTTCTCTATATCATGATACACATATTCATCTCTAATCACCTTTGTATAAATAATTATGTCAATATCTGTAATAACGTTGATTTTAAAACATTATAAGTTGTAAGCAGCTGATGAGAATCTAACGAAATAAAATGAAGTCATATTATTCTTCTTCACCAATCTTCGTTCTTGCTTCGTTTAGGATAATAATAATTTATATATTTAAATATATAAATATTGGTAAAAAGGGTCACCAGATACATATGCGCCGCACAAATCTCATTTGATTTATGTGAGGGCTGTGATACTACCCAGGTGCCCAAACTGAAGCAGGTGGTTTTCTTAGGGGGCCACACCAGGAGCCTTTGACCTAAAGCTCTGATCCATAAGACAGTGGAGCATCGTGAGGAGATGCAGTCCCATGGTAAACTTTGACGAATGATTGATTCATACTCTATTTGTTTCCTCAGGATATTGGAGTCCATGTACACCATTGGTTTGGAAACAGGGTTTTCCAACTCCCCTATGTGAACCCTTCGTGTCCATCAATCCGTTTAAAGCGGCGGAAATTCGCTTTTCGTCCTCTCAGTTTAGCAAACAACAGTAATGCCACGAGAAGGCGGTGAGTGGGACCTCCATGGCAGAGGCTTTATACGCGTGGCCATATGAGAGAATTTTGAGAGGGAGAGCGGACTTTACCCACTCTCGGCCGTACCAGGGAATTTGGAGGCGTTTAAGATAATAAAAGGAACTATGTATATAAAATTTCATAATATCTCGATACGAGTAGCATGTAGAAATGAATTTATTCAGTTTTTTTTAAAAACATATTAAGCAGAAACGTGAAGTGTTAACCTCATAAATGAAAAAATGCTTCTAATGCATATTTCACAGCCATTCATTCTATACCAGGTTTAATAGACAGTCAGTATGATATACATTCACGTGCATCTAAATTTCATTCGTCAACTTACTTCATATTGCTTCATGTAAACACATAATTAACTACTAAGTAGATAAAGCATAATTCCTGTTGTATTAAAATACATAATAATTGTATTTTGTATATGCATGAATAACTTATTTTTTAGAAGGAATAAAATGCGTAAAAAACGTGACTTAATATGTAATTCTTACTCATGGTAACTAACAACTATTAAAAGATTTTGAATAGTTTATGAATAATTTACCAAACTTTTATCAACATATCAGTGTCATTATAACAACTTTCATTATTCTATTGGTAAACTAATAATGTACTACTAGATCAGTCAGTCAGTCAGCTAAAACGTAAGATCAGGCACATATATACATCGATCCAAGTTGCCAAACCTCATTAAACAGACCGTTGCTGCTACCTTGACATGGTGGTCTAGCTTGCCCATCATGATTAACCTATCAGATTACATTGTCTGGAACAATCATTCTTTAGAGTCTTACCAGCCCACACAGGTTGGCTGAAGGGCGGTAAGACTAAAAACAGCAAAACCAAGGTCGGAAGGCGAATTCGTACTGCTGACTGTACAGAGGTGTTACGGCAGTTAGGTGTTTCCTTCATACAACCAGCACAACAGCGATGCTGTCTTCCCACAAGGAGGAGTGAGGTTAGAATGGGTCGACCCTAAAATGCACACCTCACCTCATCCCACGGATATCTGTCTCCGTCGGTAAGGTTCCAACAAGTACGGAGCTAACACGAAAATTACTCACAGAAAGATCTTGTGTGACCAAATTCAAGAAGTGGTCCTTTGGACACTGAGATTACACTCTCAGGTCACTAAGATCACCTTTAAGCCAATTTCCTTTTCAGGTAATTTTAGAAGAACTGTTCCACGGTGTAGGCAAGCGGAAAGTGTAAAATGCCCTCACACCTCCAAAAACACTTAAGACCACTGTATTCATTTTTAATAAGTTGAATTGTATAGATTTAAACATGACATTTATGATGAGTTATAAATATGACGATTAATGAAATAGTTCAAGCTATTCGATAATTTTGATTATATTTCCTTGAAAAAGCTTGAACCGAATTGTCAGGCGAAACGTTGGATATACTTCAAATTCATTCAACGAGATTTTACGAATACATTCTTCATACTTAATGTACTAAGAACTCACTCCATTTTATTATTTCGTCTTGAATTCATATAAATTTGTACACAACATAGTTTTCCACTAAAAATTTGACCGGATTTGTAATTGCACTATTATTTCTATCATTCTGCCTAACACCTATTTATCCTGAGTGTTAATTTCATTGAATGTATAAGTTAATTCAAATTAACGTTGAATATAAGTCATCTAAAAATCAACAATTTAATTTATTTCATAGTTATTCAGGATACATAATATTATCCGAACCGGTATATGTTGCCTTAAACCTGACCACTTTTTGAATTAACGTTTTTTCTGGTTAGGATTTTTTTTAACGAGTTAGTTTCTCTACGGGATCGGGTCGCTAAACCCATGCCCAACCCTCCTCCTTTACCCGCGCTTGAGACCGACAGTAACTTTAGAAGAGCTACAGGCGGAGTTTTTTGAATTAATAATTTGTATAAATTACTGTAGTACCTTAGGAGAATTTGTTGAAAAGAATAGTTTTTTTGTTCATATGTTAATGTTTTAGTAAAGATAGTGTCAGTCACTTGTATAAACCCTATAGATAACTGTTCATACCATAATCTCTGTTTTCAGAGAAAAGGGATGGTAACCTCTCAAATCTGCATTGAAAAATCAAACAGCTCATTATTCTCTTCTCAACTTTTCTTTTTTAACTATAACAATGTCAAATTATTGAAAGTTAACAGTTTATGTTAAAACTACTGACGCCATGTCAAACATACAAAGCAATTTTTCTCTTTAACCTAATGGTAATTTTACTAAACTGACATATATTTTAATGTTTTTTCAAAAATTGTTTTTTTCGAACAACTTGTTATTAACATTTTCCTAAAAAACTGAATTATTCACATCAATGTTATTTTAACAGACAATAAAATGCAGTTGTTATAAATCGGTTTTAATTTATACTAATGATGCTTTAAACGATTTAAACTATAACTAAGTGGTTACTTTCTATACTATTATGGTGTGTGCTACTGATGTCAACAGATATAAGTAGTATGTATCATCAATAGAAAGTGAAATGCCTATAGACAGAAGGTGAAGAAGATCAAAGAAAAGAGAACGAGAACAAAGAATAATTAGTATGGAAATGAAAGAGCAATGAAGTCTGAAACGATTGACTGATATTTTCAAAAGGAACAGTCAAGCTTTACACATTTTGCGAATGAAGTTTTGGCGGGACTATAATTTTTAGACTAACTAATCACATATAAGATAATAGGTTTCGGATTTTGGCGCAAAATTCACTCATCCATTTGGATAAATAGAGTTCTGGAATTATAGCTGATGTCAGTTCTTAACGAAAGTCCGAACTCTAATTTTAAACCTTGATCATCAACTGTAAATCATAATTCTTATTCCTCACACAGGTTTATAACCCTCATTTGACCGTGGTTATTGGGTGGATAATCTCCAGGTCAGTCTAGCCCCGCTCAAAGGTCATCTATAAATTACAGTGTCACCGAAGATTTTACTGTTTGGTTTTCAGATTTTACGAAGATATTCTGTAATTTTGTGTTGAATACATTCGATTGTACCCACTTATGTTCTCGATCACTGCACTATCATCAATAAGCTAAAATTAATTCAGACATTAAATAAGATTAATTTCTAAGGACAATGGCATCATCAACTACATGTAATCATTACTGGTAAGCTAACTACTAAACTTACACTATAATTTTCATTGATACCTCAGTAAGTAAAAAATCAGAAATTTTGTTTACCGGTTGTACTGAAAATAAATCAATTGTTCAATAGCTATCACTTTGGTGATCTAACCGATAGGATTAATTTTCAAACTGAATATTGTATCACTCCTCATAAATCCCTTGTACACTTTAAAGTACATGTGTAATTTTGAGTACAAAGCTTTCTAACAGTGTGAAAGTTTTGTACCGATTACAAGCATCAATAAATTGTTTAACTGAGTTACCTAGAAACAAATTAAATCAAATAGAAACAGTAAAGTATGACATTAAACTTTTCAAGGAATACTGTGTAATTTAAATAGTTCTACAAAATTTGACTTGGACAGTAAAATACAGTTAAAGTTGGATGAAATCTAACCAATCTACAAAGCTTCCATTACAATTGATTTGTTCCCTATTGTTTTAAGAAACTAAACACATAAACAGTTAACGAATCTAGTAAGTTGGCTAAATTTAAATAGACTATAGAAAATAATTGACAATAATAAGATATTAATTTTATGTAAAATAAATGGATTGTTCATTTCCAACAATTTTTAACGATGCACCGCACTGCTGATGAGTACCATACTAGGACAAAACAATCGTCGATTGCTTCCATATTTTCATTGATGGTCTAGCTTAGATTGACTGTTACAATACTATAATCTCCACAAATCCTCTATTCTGATAAAACAGGAAAGGTTTACAGGAAAAAAAGATGCACTAATTTTAGTTGTTTGAATAACTATTTACTCTTATCGAATATTCATTTTTTTTTATCAGAAGGGGTTTTGTGGAGATTTAGTATTTTCATAAGAGGTCGTGGATTTGCACTGCTGAGGAGTCCCATAATAGGACGAAACAGCCGTGCAATGCTTCCAGGTTTTCCCTGGTGGTCTAGATTCAATTGACTCACGTTTTCAACTATGAAAATATTTATTTAATAATTCATTTTATATTAAACACTCAACTACTCATATTGACCAACCTTTCCTTCTATTGTTGTTGTTGTTGTTGTTTAGATTACAGAAAATATCAAAGAAAGAAAAATCACCATCATGTACATTAAATGGTCTATTAAAAGAAAACCTATTTCAATGACAAAGAATGAATCAATTTTACAAAATATTCATTCACATATTTATATAATAATACGTAGATTACATATGAAAACATGTTATATACTACTTATTTGTTGTTGTTGTTGTACATTATTATTGATTTATGAAAAACAATTATTTTTATCATATACATGTCAAATCAATTTCATTCAATTATCATCTTTATGTTCAACAATAAATAATAATGAACAAATATTAGATGATTTAATTGATGTTGAACATTTACAAGGAACACAATTTCAAATATCGAAAAAATGGTTTAAAGTAATGTTTTTTTTAATTAAATGAATCTAAATTATATAATTGAAATTATGAGTCAATTGAATGCTAGATCACCATGGAAAACCTGGAAGCACTGGACGGCCGTTTCGTTCTATTGTAGAACTCTTAAGCAGTTCGCATCCACGATACCTCCTTCTAATAATGATCATATACTCACTAGTGACTGGCTCCATGAGATATTTCCTGGAGTTCTAGTGAGAAGCAGTGACCAGTGGAGTTCAACCAGGTCTGCTGTGAGATAGTAACTCACTGAAGACATTAATGGATGGTTGTTCGATTTAATGGATCGGTTGAAGTTAGACATTAACACCGTTGGGTTTGGTCTCAGTGGTCTAGTGGTTTAGCACTCGTGCGCAAGACTGATAAGTCCTGGGTTCGCATCTCGTAAGGCGGGATCGCGGATGCGCACTGCTGAGGAGTCCCACCATAGAATGATATAACCTTCCAGTGCTTCCAGGTTCTCTATGGTGATTTAGCCTCAATTTACTCATGATTACAACTATATAAGAATCTAAATTAATCAATTTTATTTAATATATTTGTGATTTGATATAATTTTATATACTTTCAGTTACTAAAATGATGTTACTAGATATGTTTGATTATCCTTCTTCGTTCAGTACATTACTATATGTTTTTATCAATATTGTGTAAGAATTCCTAATTGTATTGGTTGTTTGAATCTTCTCATTGATGTTTAGGATTGTAATTGATCAGTTGGTTATTAACATTTGTGGATCTTGTGTGGATGACATCCATATTGCTTTACGTGAGAATTATTATAAGCAGAGGTGGATGTTGACCTGCAGTATAATCCAGAACGAGCGCTTCGTTCTATTTAGGACTTGTTGCTTCGATATACCTGCATCCCAGAGTCAATGTTCATTCGATTGGTACTGGGTTTGGGTGCCGGAGTAAACATCAACTGTGAGATGCAGATACATCCAATTGACTAGTTTGAAACGTGGGTCTTCGTTTCCATTGTTAGCCGACACCCATCTTTACTTATAATATTTTGTATGATTTACTAATTTGAGAAAAGCAGTAAAACCACTTTTAAATATACCAAATTTTAATTTAGAATAATTTATATGCAACTATCGATAAAAACCATGATATGTGTTCCATTTTATCCTAAACTTGTAATCTAAATTTCCTTCCATCCTAATGTTTATGTTCATATCGAAACTTGAGTTCAGCCCCTTGTACTTCAAACACTAGTCGTCAATCCAGTGAACTTCTGAGTCAAGATAACTACTGACTTGTTCTACAGTTATGAAAATATTCGTCTGAGTCTATAGTTTGAAGCTACTTACCTCAAAAAGCTGAGCGACTGTTACAAAAAATGAAAGATAAAAGTTTTTAAATGATCGTGTGAATTGATAACAAATAGCAGAATCATAACTGATTTCTCAGCTTTATACAGATCTCAATACCAAGTTAAAGTGTAAATGATTTTCAGCTGGTTGCTTGATAAATACCAACATTTAGAACGATCTGTAACCAAACGTTGATTTACCTAAATTATTGGAGAATACCGTTATAAATCATTGACCAAAAAATTACTTTTAAAATCTGTCTTACTTTCTAACCGCTTTGTTAAAGTTTTTAAAATATCTAGAGCCTAAGCGCTCAGGCGCGAGACTGATAGGTCCTGGGTTCGAATCTCGCGAGGCGGGATCGTGGATGCGCACTGCTGAGGAGTCCCATAATAGGACAAGTTGTCGGTCCAGGGCTTCCAGGTTTTCCATGGTGGTCTAGCTTCAATCGACTCATTATTTCAAATATAATATTTCAAATAATTTAAAAAGTCCAAATAATTGTTACTCGTTTGTGTGGAAGTATAGATAGTGACATAGTTACATATCGTCTTAACCGAATACAAATCTACAATCACCAAGCGATTTATGATTTCTATGAAATTCAATCCATAATAGTGCAGATTTTTTGCTTGGGAACTCTTTTTGAATACCACTAACTGGACGTGAAAGCGCGTTACAATATTGTACTAATTAGGCTAATAATACTCACTGCAGCACTGTGTATAGAAACTGGTCAAAATATTATTTGATAATATGACATTAGTTACTACTAAGTGAGCACTTTCTATATCTGAATAAAAGTGTTCATGTCTTTATAAAAACAAGCATAAACTATTTAGGCTCATAACAATAATATACCATTTATATAGTTTGTTTTCAAATTCACCACTTTGTTTATATCCCCTGTTAGATAACTACTATCTTTCGTACTTTATAATCATCTGAAGTATAAAAAAGTGTAATTTATAATAGGTTGTATTAAAAAAGTACGATTATGTCAAATGAAAATATCCAGTTGTATACCGTTATTATCATAACTAGTCCCTCATTGTTTTTTGAAAAAAATTTTTTTCCACATCGAAGTACCGATCAACTTGTTCGGTTAGATAAATTTTTCCTGAAAAAAATAAAATTTGTTTTTAATTTTTGTACGGAGTCGACACATCAAATGTGTAAACATATATGTATATGGTGGAGAAGATTTGTAGCTCAGGTGGAGGATTTTGATGTTTTGTTCTCTGAGCTGGTTGGTTTGGTCGTGGAGCCTTCATCGTCCTTCTGAACGACATCATCAGCACAAACTTCAAAACAACGATGAAAGCTCCACAAACAAACCATCCAGCTTAGAGGACATAACTACATCAAAATATATGTATGTATTTGTGTGTATATATATACCCTAAAATTATAGTAAATAAGTCGACAAATCTGACAAATATGTATATTTAGTGAATATGAAGTCAAAAAATTTAAAATATAGTTGACAGGGATGAATGAATCTATGAAGCTGTTTAACAGTAGGAATGTAGAGGGATATTGTTATTGTAATGTTTCATCAGAACAATTTCAATACTACCATATTTTATAAGCTTACCTATGTATTTTTTATTATTAAAAACTGTTTACACTCATCTTAGCTTAAAATACTTAGTCATTTTAATAAAAGCTTATAAGTTCCATCTGTTTATATTTATTACAATATATGATAGTTTAATAACAGAAAGGGGTTTTGTGGAGATTTTAGTAATTTTATATAGTTCAAATCATGAGTCAATTGAAACTAGACCATCATGGAAAACCTGGAAGGACTCTAGCTTCAATTGACACATGATTTTAACTATATAAAATTATTAAAATCTCCACAAAACCCCCTTCTTATAATGATCATATGCTCATCATGAGTTTTGTCGTGGAGTTTTAGTGAGAAGCAATGACCAGTGGAGTTCAACCAAGTCTCTTGTGAGATAGTAACTCACCGATGACAATTGTGGATGGTTGTTCAATTTAGTGGATTGGTTGAAGTTAGACATTAATACCCTTGGATGCCGGTTTAGTGTTCTAGTGGTTAATCGCGCGCGTGCGAGACTGATAGATCCTAGGTGCGCGTATCGCGAGGCCGGATGGTGGATGCGCACTTCTGAGGAGTCCCACAATAGGACGAAACGGCCGTCCAGTGCTTCCAGGTTTCCCATGGTGGTCTAGCTTCAGTTGGCTCATGATTTAAACTATATAAAATATGATAGTTTAGTTCGAAAACAGTCAAACTTGAGCACTACATCAGTACCAAATTTATAAATGTGTTCATGCTAACAACTCAGTGGTGTTTGTTTCGTTTAACATTTTCTGAAACAAAAATGAAATTTCTATCTGATCTGAAGTGATAAAAACGATTTCAACTTAAAATATAAATTTTCAGTCTTCTTTTTTTATGATGCTACAAGGGGTACAATGAAAAATGACTACTAATTCTTTGATGTACAGCTCACGTACTTTTTTACAGTATAAATTTAAAAATAGTGTATAGTAGGATCAACCGACAATATTACTTGAATAAATTTTTTGTGGTTGGCGTTTTTTAGCGAGTTGGTTTTCTACGGGATGGGATCGCTAACCCCCCACCCAATCCTCCTCCTTTATCCGGGTTTGGGACCGGCAGTAGCCTCGGAGGAGCTACAGGCGGAGTTATCAAACGACGATATACTATATATATATATATATATATATATATATATATATAGAATGTTCTAATTTGTTTTCACATTACCAAGCTTATTTTTAAGAAGTACTCATAAACTGATGATGATAATCTGTTTCTTTGTTATATCACAACAAGTTGAATATCCATGATTAATTTCTAAATCATACAAGTGTATCCATCAAAGTTGCACATCAAAACACTATTATTTTGAATCTTCAACAAACTAGATGGCTTCGATTTGCATTCGAATACATATGGCATTTATATTGTACTGATAAATATTTTTCTTGTCATTGTCTACTCGTTTTTTTTCCATTTTTCTTTGTCACATTTTTTTCTATATTATTGTCTTTATTTCATAGGAAAACATTATCACAATCGATATTTCACTTGTTATTGGTGGTGCACAAGCTGCTCGTGGACTTGTCACATTAATTAAAAGTATTTTACTTCAAAGAAAATGGGAAAAATCTGTTGAATTTTCTAAATTTCCTCGACAAACAACTTTGAAGTCATCAGTAACATTTAATAGGAGGGAATCAATAGTGGACAATGTTAATCAAAATAATGAATGTTATATAAGACATATTAATCTACATTTAATAAGTGATTATCATGCATTCAAAAGTCTTTCAACTTTATTTGATACATGGAATATTCCAAATTTCAATGTCTATTTTTATCAACTGGAATTATATTTGGTATGTACCGGTTTCTTAATTTATATACATATGATTTGCAACAAGTTATTTACACTTTTAGTAACTGTGAAGTGAAATCGCTTCAATAATAAGTAAGAAATGAGATAGAAATTTATTCAGTAGACGAATTTCATTATTCTAAAAATGATAACTAAATAATTCAGAAAATAAATGGATTGTAGTTGATAGTGGAATTTAGGACTCTTGTTTCATTCTTTTTGGAATTAGTTACCAGGGTGTACCATCATCTAATTGGTGGTGTTTATACTGAGATTTGAACCAATACTTTTCGCTTCGAACATTAATACGTTTTCATCTTAGCTACTGTGTTTATACTGAAACTAACTGATCAAAGTTCAGTCCTAAATTTCAGCAAAGAAAGAACTTAAACCCTCACTAGTAATAAAATAGTTAAACTCATCAAAAAGGTAGTCTCAATTTTTATAAAAGATTAAATATGAGCTTTTTGAAATAGGATTCATCAATGTTTATCAGCTAATCTTTAATCGATTTTGTATCAAACAAAATCAGTACTTGGGCCTAATAAACGATGGAAATCATATGAAAATTCATAGCGAATTCTCCACAAATATAATATTCAATAATCAGTTGTACGTAGAACAGAAAATATTTTATATAATTGAGATCATGAGTCAATTGGAGCTAAAGCACCATGGAAAACCTGGATGCACTGGACGGCCATTTCGTCCTTTTATAAGACTCCTCAGCAGTGCGCATCCACGATCCCGTCTCGCGAGATTCGAACCCAGACTGGTAGGTCCAGTGCTTCTAAATTTTTCATGGTGGTCTAGCTTCAATTGACTCAAGATCTCAACTATATAAAATTACTAAAAATCTCCACGAAACTTCCCTTCAGAAAATATTTTTTTTAATCTTGAGCTTGGTTATAGTGCACGCTTATAAAAAGATCGTAATGGATTAGATATCCAATATTCAAGTTTTTTAATGAGCCATGATACATACATCCTTTCATTGTTTTCTGTCTTGAGTCGCAATAAGAGTGACTTTTGACAACAACAACAAAAAGCATTTTTATTTATATTTGACTAGTTACAATAAGATAAATATTTAATTCCAGTAATGATTAATTATTCTCATTCATATATTATATTTTTTCTTCGAAACAAAATAAAAAAGGGAAAGCCTCGTAAAATATAACAGAATGTAAGAAATTAATGATATTTAGTGACAATCAGAAACAATCATAATAATAAATTCACTTATTATTAATTGTTTGAATCATCCCATTGATGTTTAGGACTGCAACTGGTCAATCTCTTATTGTCATATGTACATTATGTGCATATTGCCTCGATATTGCTCTAATTCACAAGCATTATAAGCAAAGATGGATAGTGGCTAGCAGTGGAATCCAGGATGCGTGCTTCGTCCTTTTTGGGACTCGTCAGCTGGATATACTTGCAAATTAGTGTTGATGCCCACTCTAGGACTCGAACCCAGTACCTTTTGCTTCAAACGCCATCGCGTTATCCACTCAACTACTGAGTCTATATTTGTTTATAATCAAAATAATATACAATAAACTTATGGAATAGTTTAATCCTAACTAACTGACTTGGGTTCCATTGTTCATTACAGAATCTATTGATAGATTATTTATGTATTAAATTTATTTCGTTTAATTAATCTGACTTGTTAGTTTCAGTGATTTCTTAATAGATAGTTTAAAAATAAAATTTGATTGTCCTTAATCCAAGTAGAATAAATCGTAAGAAGAACTTTGTGTAATGACTGAATCTCAGTTTATTACTTTTTAACTTATTCTAAAATGTAGTTGGTACACCCAGAATATCTAGATAAATGATATCGTTTACTTATTATATTCTTGACAGTATTATATGAATTCTCTCGAGGTAATTTGTATGATACTTGTTCAGTTTTAATGATACTGTAAGGTTCAACGTCATAAAATTAAGCAAAAGAAGTATGTTGCGATCCCTACACGTAAACATTTCATAGCTACTTAAGTAATGATATGTGTTAGGTGGTGGTGATAGAAGTAGTACTTTTCTGTTACATTTAACAACTCCATGAAATTCTTCAAAACATTTGAACACGTAAATTATCTAAACATTCTTAGAAAAATCTAAACAGATAGTTTGCAGTCGTGCCCCTAATGTAGAATAGACGAAATATACTAAAGTCATTTTTGAAATATTCTGAGCAGCTGAAGACAAAATACTTCAATATTTGGTCAGAAAGACTGGGCCAAGTTCCTGATTGAAAATAATGAACATATATTATGGCTTTCAATCACGATGAATTATTGGTCCTTTTCTTGTTATTTAATTATTATTGTATCACAGCTACCAATAGATTTGATGAAACTGTGGAGAAATGCTTTAGCATTTATTCATTCACGGTTCATATATAATCAACCATAGATCATGGAATCTTTCAATGTAAAGAATTAGGATTAACTAAATATATAAAGCGTTCGATCACTGTGTAATGATCAAAATAGTATGATAATCACCTCTATACACCTAGTCTTCGACCATTCAACATTAAATCACCGTTATACTTTGTATATGTTTGCTTTCAAGTTTATCTAAAATAACATTCATATATAATAGATGTGATCAACAGCAGAAAAAATGTAATAATTTCAAATAGATATGTCGTTTAGATTGATATAATAAATGGATCAATGTTAAAACACCATTGAAAACCTGGAAGCACTGGAGGACCGTTTCGTTCTAATATAGGTACCTAAACTCAACCATCTCCACGACCCTATACTACTGATAGATATATCGTGTTGTAAATAACAAAATAGTATTGAAAAGTTCATAAGATTTATAATTTATAAGAGATTAGCTCATCTACACTGAATGATAACTGATTCTTTTCAATTAGATGAAAAACATCAATCCATATGACCAAAATTCATTTACACCATTTATTATAACCTAACTTACCATAAACATCCTATTTAAATGCTAATAAAACATGTATTGTTATTTTTTTTCTTTAATCATCAGTTATAAAATCCATTAGATCATTTCCTGGTCTAATGAAAAGAAAAACGAAACTATTTAATCACTAAAAGCAATTTTTTGAACAACACATTATAGGAGCCTAATATGAATATATATAACTCTACTAAGCCTCCTCTTTAATTATTTCACTATATAATATAAAGAATCAACTTTTAGATAATTGGTAACCGGAATGTTACCACAGACTGTGTTTTTTTTTCAAATGCATTAGGGAACTAAAATATTTTCTAAAAAAAACAAATAAATTTACCAGAAGGGGTTTTGTGGAAACTTTAGTAATTTTATACAGTTGAGATCATGAGTCAATTGAAGCTAGACCACTGCTGCACTCTGCTGAGGAGTCCTACAAAAAAACGAAACGATCGTCCAGTGCATCCAGGTTTTCCATGGTGCTCTAGCTTCAATTGACTCATGATCTCATCTCTATAAAATAAATTTATGTTTGAACTGAAGTTATATCTAATTAGCACAAATATTTTATGAATATTCTATTAATTAATTGTTATATCGAGTGAGTGTGCGTGTCCTGTTTGATATGAACGTGCTCATCCCCTGTAATCAGAGAGGAGTGAATTTATTGATCGGATAAGTGATACACAAAAGCTGTATGAGCAGTCTTAAGTATTTATCAGTTCTGTTTCTCGTATAGCCCAGCCAGTTAAGTCCAGAACATCAATAACAGTTTCTGCAATATGAATCATTATTCTCAAACATACTGGGGTTTATATATCAATCAAACGGACCATATCGTATCATGAAATAGAAAATAACATTTGTACAAGCTTTGGCTAAATGTGGCTATGATAGTGGGAGACAGTAATTAATAGACTAAGGATAACTTAAGAATGATAAATCATATAATAATAGTTACTTAACAATTATACAATAGGGAATATACATATCATAATGGTCTATAAATAGTTCTCAAACTTACCATTCTTAAATCGTTTCGGGATATAACACTAACACCATAGTTAAAAGTTTATACAGTTAATTAAATTTTATTCCATATTATAAGTATTCATGTTATATATTTAAACAAAACTTAAAAGTAGCAATCAATATGATATGAGATAGCTTGCCAAAATTGACATGACGTTTTCAATTTGATATTCAATGTTTTTCATAAGCATTACCTGTATAAATAATCTTCAGTTGGATATTGTTTTACATAAATATTGACGAACTTGAAAGAAATTATATTTGTAAACGTTTCACAGTTTATGACATAAAAAATAAATCAGAACTGGTATAGATAGTAAATGGAACAGTTAAGATTAAGACAATTGATTGTTATTTTGTATATTAATTGTTTACTGTATGGTTATCAGAATTTAGTGAGATAGTCTGTAATTTGTGCTTAAATACATTCGATTGTCCTCAGTCGTATTCTTGTTCACTACAGCACTACTATAAATCATCTTGTTATGCCCCGATAAGGATAATGAATGGTAACTTTGGGATCTATTTATGAACCAACATTATGCATATATATATATATGATAGTAACTATATGTGTAAATTTTAATATAAGTGGCAATAAACACAACATTTATTTTTAGCATAAAGTATCTTGGATACCAAGTACTCATTATTCGGGACTATTTGGTTTGTCAAAACTGCTGATACCTGAGATTTTACCAGAATCAGTAGAAAAGGTAAGTAATCCATCGAGTTTATTGTTAATAATATATAACAGTGTGAATAAGCATACTTGGATGGAAAACCATTCTTCGATAAGAGAGGTGTATAAGTGTGTTAGGATTATTATACTGCAACTAGTTTGTAGTCTGAAAACCTAAGCCTATGTGGAAAACTATTCGAAAAAGCTTTTATTTCTGTGATTAACTGCTTTCGAAATATAATTACTCAATCAAGAGTACTTTGAAATGTGGCTTCATTCGGAGTTCATTGTGTGATTTTTTGACAATTTAGAGTTTCGTTAGTGTGGTCCAACTCTAAATTTATCTGTTAAACTATTAAATCACGAAAGTCATCAAACGTTTTGATAAATATTATATGGGCTTAACAAAATTAGTTAATTTATTTCAGAATAATAAATGCGAGACAGTATAAACCATTAAGACTAATAATACATACAAATCTTGTCGTTTTTATGAAATTATGTTTGAAAAGACTTTTCAATTTAAAGAAAGCTTGTTTCAAGGATTGAATTCAGTTATAGAACCTCTGAAAGTAACAGCTCATTGAACTAGATTACGCTTCAATATGGAATATTCACAACCTTGTCAATAATTAGGCATAATTGGAAGGCGGTTTGAATCTCGTGAGGCGAGATCGTGGATGTGCACTCCTGAGGAATCCCACAATAGGACGAAACTGCCTTCCAGTGCTTCCAGGTTTTACATGGTGATCTATCTTCAATTGACTCATGATTTTAACTATATAAAATAAACATTATCTTTAAATCTTGATGCAAGTACGCTGTTTTCAAACAATTAAGTATGAATTTAATAGTGCACATTTATGACCTATTTTTTGCTTAAAAAAACTAATATATTTTTGTGGAGAATCGCACTGAACTTAATGAATTAAAAGTAGTAACCACATAACTTATTCCCACTACGATAAAATTAGACGTTTACCTTAGATGACACTGAAGTAATAATTCTTATATTAGGTTTCAAAAACTTTGAAAAAAAGTGCAAATAAAAGGAAACAGAATAAAAGACTAAATTCATTTGGTATTATTCACTTGAATCTTCTCATTGATGTTAAAGACTGTATTTGATCAGTCTCTTATTAGCCATATGTGCATACTGTCCGTACTGTCTTAATATAGCCTTAATTCACAAGCATTATAAGCAAAGATGGATAGTGGCTACAAGTGGATTTCAGGAAGCTTATTTCGTTCTATATAGGACTTGTCATCTGGATGCACTTGCATCTCAGAGTTGATGTTCGCTTTGAGACTCATTTTAAAATAATATCTTGAACATCCTCTTCATAAAATATTATAAATATAGTTTATAAAAACAAATGAAGTGAAACAGACCTTCAGCTTATTCAAATAACATTACTGCAGCGTTTCAAATATCTAACTTCATGAAATAGTAATCATCATATGTAAGAGATGATTATTCGAATAATTGATATAAGATATTCATAGAAAATAAAGAATTAAACCTTCAATATGCATAAATTATTATTGATGAAGATAATCAAAACTAGTTCAATGAAGCTAATGAGAATTCTATTCTTCTTAAGTCACAAAAATATCCGGATACAGTTTTTTTGTTTTAGGAAAAGGACACATTTTATATTTAACTACAATATTAGCTGAATTCCCTTATAACTGAAGTTAATCTCTTCAAAATTATGGATTGTAACATCTTGTGTTTGAACTATTTTAATGGTGGACATCAATCTAATGTGTACATATTTTTAAATTACTTCTTCTACAGAACTCTCTGCAATGAATCGAAATGTTTGATATCCATTTTCATACCTTTCACTTACGTTTGTCATATATATAAGCCCTTATTGTATATATGTATTTCATTTCTAGGTTATTAATCTTGACGTTGATCTTCTGGTGAATTCTGATCTGTTGGAACTTTGGGCTCATTTTCAAAAGTTCAATACTAGTCAAGTAAGAAAATTATGTTCACTATTTACAACTATTACATTTAACTATAAAATAACAATTTGTTTCTTTAATCTTCTTCACTACACTTCATGTGGAAAAGTCTCACATATTCCATGCAGTTAGTTCCCTTTATGAATTTAAATAAAGACAGAACAAATATTGTTGCAGAATAATATGGATTCATTATATTTCGTGGTTTCTCATCAGCTGTTTACAACCAAATATGCATTAGAGTTTTAGCATTGAGGTAATAAAAAAGATGGAACGACTGACATTTTGTTTTTTGTTTGTTTGTTTCAGTTTTGTTGTTATTAGTTTAATTTTGGTTAATATCCAGTTTTTATTATATTCCTCTTCCCTTACCCAATTCTTAAACCACCCTTTCTTTGACACATTTCCGCTCATTTGTCTATCCTAATTATATGAACTATCCAAATTTTCCATAGTTGAAAGCGTGAGTCAGTTGATGCTAGACCACCATCGAAAACCTGGAAACACTGGACAGCCGTTTCGTCCTATAATGGGACTCCTCAGCAGTGCGCATCCACGAACCCGCTCTCGCGAGATTCGAACCCAGGACCTGCCAGTCGCGAGCCGAAGCCCTTAACCGATAGACCACTGAGCTGGCATCCAACGGTGTTAATGTCTAACTTCAACTGATCCACGAAGTTGAGCAACTATTCACCAATTGTCTTCAGTGAGTTCCTATCTCACAACAGACGTGGTTTTGAACTCCACTGGTCACTGCTTCTCACTAGAGCTCCTAGATATACTTCTCAAAGTCACGCTTTCAACTATGAAAAATATTAAATCTCAACAAAACCCCTTTTGATAATTAATATCCAAATTTTATTCAATTATTACGCAACCCACCTTAATTGTTTTAATTACCTCTAAAATAATCACATTTTTGATCTTATCTGTCTTTGAACTCCACTCAACTATTACGCCACCCTTCATTCTTATACCTAATAACCTCTGACCTTTCCTTGCCCATATAAATATATAAATATAAATATATATATATATATATATATATATATATATATAGTTATCATTGATGGCCTTTTGTTATTTCTATCCTATACATTCATTTATGCCAGTCGTTCCATCTTATTTATTACCCCAATGCTAAAACTTTAATGCATATTTGGTTGTAAGCAGCTGATGAGAAACCACGAAATATAATGAATTCATATTATTCTGTATCAATATTTGTTGTCTTTATTTAAATCTCACATATTTGATTAGTTTCACATTAAACCTCATCTCAAACAGAAGCTAAAAGTAATAAACTTTTGGTAATATAGTATTTTTTAAGTTGACTAGTTTGATTGTGAGATTTTCATTGTCCTTCTCGAAAATATCAACAACTTCTACTTCAAATACAGTTCGAAATAAGTCCGTTGTAATGCCTTTATTTGAAAATGATTGTCTTCGCTGGGTGTTTTTCAATCGTCGTTGCGTCTAAGATAGATTAATTAATTTTTTACACGCTGATTTAGTGATTATAAATTTACCTGAATATTAACTATCTGGAAATTCTCTGACATTAATAATTATTTCACTGTGCAAAGTTTTTGATATTTCTTCAGCCAAACGTACATCTATAATAGTCTTTATTCCTTGATAAACGTAGAGAAATGTGGTGGGATTTGACAGCTAATTTATGTATATTCATGCATATGTGTACAAAACTAACATTTTTTGAAGAGGCACTTTTCGTAGTTGATGTAGTTCATTCTTTATATGAAGTTAAGTTTATCTTACATGTTGTGTTCTTCCATCAACATGGAACAGAATGAAGTGATTATGTCAGTTTGTCAGTAAAATCAATCTTTAGGGTTTCAAAACTTTTATGATAATTTTAGAAATTCCTACGTAAATGATATTATGGTTTCAATGTTTTGAAGACAGCAAGAAAACGACTAAAGTAGTAAAACATGAGTTTATGTTTTTTCATTGGGTTCTCCTCATTTGTTTACAACTTGTAATATTTAAAAAATCATTATTATAAACGGGTAATCATTACTTGCATATATGAGTTTGGTTGGAGTTTATTTTGAACATGTATTAGTACAGTAAAACAATGATGTTAAAAAGTTTAAAAAGCTAAGAAAAATGTTACAACTATATAACTTCTGTAGAAGAATATTTTACAACACTGGTAATAAAAAAAGGTCGAAGATTCTCAATGCAAATGGTCAAGTAATGAACGAATATTAATAATAAGTAAGAATGAAGCGAATAGAGCTCGGACAGTTAGAATATGATCATTGATTTAGAAAACAGTAAAAATAATATCATTATCCAATTAGTTAAATAGAAAGGTTAAACAAACGCTTGCGATGAAACCGTTCGTATTATCAAGGCAGAGAAAAGTTAGTACTTCCTCCTGTCGAATACATAAATCAAGAACGAACTTTCACTGTTCAATTCATCTTTTTTTCGTGAATCAATCTTTTTTTTGTTGAACTTTAAGCTAATCAACAAGAATTTACATAATAATTGTCTTATGAACTGACGACAGATATATCAAAATATATATATCACATGTAAATTATTAGTTATTCTGCAGTGGACGAAAAAAAAAGAGACAGTGGAATGTATTTGAACCCAATATAACAGAATATCTTAGTAAATTCTTCAGTTGCAAAATGTCAATCAATTGTCACAAACTTGATTGTTCCTTCTGCAAATGTCAATCAATCGTCTCAGATTTTATTGTTGTTTCGTTTCCACACCAATCATTCTTTGTTCTCGTTCGCTTTTCTTTGATCTTCTTCACTTTATATCTGAAGGCATTTCACTTTTGATAGATGATACAAGAACACAAGTTGGGACAATCGAATGTATTTAAGTGCAAAATTACAGAATATTTCAGTGAAGTATGAAAACCATACATTAAACAATTAATTTGCAAACTATCAATCAATTGTCTCCATCTTAACCGTTCCTTCTGCAAATATCAGTCCATCATCTCCGATTATTATTGTTCTTGCATTTCCATACCAATTGCGTTTCGTTTCCCTATCGATCTTCTATTGAAATACATTAAATGCCTGACCATCGTTATATACTACTTATGTGGATATATGTAACCCACACCACAATACTACTTATATCTATCGACGTAAGGAGAAAACACCACAATTCTGTTCGATTTGGAACTAAGATATCTTAAACGTTCTAATTCTTTTTCACATTACTAAATGTATATGTAACTACATAAAAAATAATACATTTCAAACATCTTAATACACAATTACATGAAGTCAACTTCGATAGTAAAATTTCACACTGTTTTATTGTAAAATAAATTTGAGGCTTCAATTATTTATTTTGAAATGTTGACGCCACCTTTTTAAACCTATCCGTATTGTTTATCAGAAGAAGGTTTTATGGAGATTTTAATTATTTTTATGTAGTTGAGATCATCAGTCAATTGAAGCTAGACCACCATGGAAAACCTGGAAGCACTGGATGGCCGTTTCGTCCTAATGTGGGACTCCATCTGTGATGCATTGAATCTAGTAATATTTCGAAATTTATTTAAACTATTCATTTTTACATATATATAACTTCATTGGTTTTATATTTGAAAATATTCTTTCCTAGATGATTGGATTAGTTGCTAATCAAAGTCCATGGTATTTAAGAAAAACTAACCGAATAGTGTGGCCTGCTTGGGTAATTTAGAGTTGTTTTTTTTATAATTTTAATAGTGAACATTTAATTTTGGTGATATGTTATTTGAGATGGTGGAGAAGATTTGTAGCTCAGGTGGGTGATTTTTATGTTGGTTTGTTCTCTGAGCTGGATGGTTTGGTCGTGGAGCTTTCATCGTCCTTCTGAACGACATCATCAGCACAAACTTCGGGTAGAAGTTTGTGCTGATGATGTCGTTCAGAAGGACGATGAAAGCTCCACGACCAAACCATCCAGCTCAGAGAACAAACCAACATAAAGATATGTTATTTATTATAATAATATAACTTCATAATTAGAGAATTAAATCATACAAGCATCCGTCATTTAACCTAAGGGAGAATACAGAGTAGAAATAATTGGTGTTTCATAAAGTTAAAAAGATCTATTCTGATAAGATGGTGGTTGGAGGTGGTTAACAGGAAACCCTGGACCCGGGTTTCGTGCCATTTGGCACTCATCAGCTAGGTGTACCTGAAATCTTGAGTGGACTGGTGCTCCCTGACGGATTCGATCCCGTGTCAAACAGTTTCACATTCAGAGATGTTACCACTGAGCTATTCGGACCACCTCCAACCACCATCTTATCTCAACATAGTGTACACAGTGTCGAGCCACTTAGACTAGTGGCCACATTGCAACTTGATCGATAGCATTTGATCAGCACTAGGAAGGACTTGACACGTATGACATTGATCGCCACCCAGTGATCAATCAATTATGAAAGATCTATTTATTGTTTTCGTAAATTGATAAGCTTTTTGAAGATCATATAATTTTGTGAGTTTAGCCAACAGGATGATTTTACAACTCTTATAATTGTATCAGAGTCATACTTCCAACTGTAGCAGTATTTGGTAAAAATGTTGATATTCAGTGAAATATCAACTGAGAATTCAGATTTATCTTTGTGACAATAATCTGCCACAAACTCATATTATATACATACATTTTTCACAGATTAATTACATTTAGAAATTTATATCATGCAGTATCATAATGGTGGAAGGGCATTGGTAAAGAGGTTTGTAGTCTTCGAACCTAATTCCTGGATTAACCATTCCTGTTAACTACTATAATATTCTACAGGAATTATTATGACGTCTATGACATAAAATAATAACAATTTTTATTCATTAGAAAAATGTAAACACCATTTTGAAATTAGTTTACTTTAAAATTGAAAATATATGAATTATTAATTTCAAATAATTAGGGGAATGTACATTGAAAAGAAGTTAAGGGAGATACTCAGACTAATTAAAAAAGTAGAAGATATAAAGTAAAATGGGACAATGATAAGAAATAATTCATGTATTAACATACATCTAACTCTCTCTATATAAATTTGCATTAGCAACACTATTTGTAATGAACATTTTATACAAGAACTAAATGTGATTGAAATTAGATTGAATTACATAGATGTTATTCATTCACTTTTATAAAATAATAATGAACTTTGAATTCACTTAGTATTGTTTGTTTGAATCTTACCATTGATGTTTAGGACTGCAACTGATCAGTCTTTTATTGGCAAATGTGTATACTGTGTGTATAACCTCGATGCTGCTAGCCACTATCCATCTTTGCTTACAATGCTTGTGAATTAAGGCCATATCGAGGCAATATGCACAGTATGCACATATACCAATAAGAGACTAATCAATTGCATTCCTTAACATCAATGGGAAGATTCAAGTAAACAATACCAAGTGAATTTATGGATTACTTTTGTCATTAGAAATGTTTTTCTTTATGAAATACAAAAAAAGTGTTTATTCTGCACTGTTATAAATCAGATTACAGGGTTAGTGTATAAGAAGTACAAGTGACAGAGGTTAAGCTGTGAACATGAATCGAAATCACTTTTATTCTTAAGCACGTTTTATTAAACTTCTCATTTATCTGAATTACAATGCAATAATAAACTTTACAAACTATACTTGGATTTTAATAAAGGGTCCTGGCTTTAACACCGGTGTTATGTTGCTAGATCTTGTTCGTTTGAGAGAGTTCCATTGGTCAGAACACTGGTACAAAACAACAAAATCTGCATTACAACATATACCTTATTCAATGTTAGCCGACCAGGTAGGTAAATAGCAAATTTTTCCCATTAGTTTATTGTATCAAGCTCAATAAAAGTTTCAATATTTTTCCGAATATTTTTTGGCAGAAATTTTCAGCTATGAGGAAATTCAAACATTACTTTCTTACTTACGCTTGTTACTCCCATAGGCCGCCAACTAGCATTCTCCAACCCACTCTGTCCTGAGCATTCCTTTCTAGTTCTATTCAACTTTTGTTCATTCTTCTCATGTCTGTCTCCATTTCTCGGCGTAATGTGTTCTTTGGTCTTCTTCTTCTCCTTTGACCTTCAGGATTCCATGTGAGGGCTTGCCTTGTGACTCAGTTGGGTGCTTTCCTCAACGTGTGTTCTGTCCACTTCCAGCACTTCTTTCTGATTTCTTCCCCCCTTATCTGGTTTGTTGTCTCCCACAGTAACTTGTTGTTAATAGTGCCTGGCCAACGGATCTGAAGTATTTTGCGTAGACAACTGTTAATGGACACCTGTTTCTTCTGGATGATGGCTTTCTTAGTTCTCCAGGTTTCCGCCCCATACAGAAGAACTGTCTTTACATTTGTATTGAGAATTTCGATCTTGACCTTGGTTGAGAGTTGTTTTGAGTCCCAGATGTTCTTCAATTGTAAATATTCTGATCTTCCTTTGCCGATCCGTGCCTTCACATCCGCATTAGATCCACCGTATTCGTCAATAATGCTGCCGAGATATGTAAGGGTGTTTACGTCCTCCAAAGCTTCTCCGTCAAGTGTAGTTTGATTGCTTTTCCCTTCGTATACCTTGAGACATACTGCTGCTACACTGGACGTTTTCTCCTGCATTTGTTGTTGAGCGTACGATAGGAGAGCCAGATCATCTGCGAAGTCTAAATCATCCAGTTTCATCCTAGCTGTCCATTGTATCCAATGCTTTCCCTCAGATGTTGACGTTTTCATGATCCAGTCGATCACCAGGAGAAAGATAAAGAGCGACAGTAAGCAACGTTACCTGACACCGGTCTTTACTTTGAACCACTCAGTGAGCTGTCCTGAATTTCAAACACGCAAACTAATTATTTGTTTTAAAGTTATATTTATATACTTGTGAATAGACTTCCAAACCAAATGTCAAAGCGAATAGTACAACTCTTAACCATAATATATTTTATTACTGATACCTTAGATTTACATATTTTTTGCTAATGGTTATTAATACCACCAAATATGCGTATTGCATTGTAATAACTGTATATATTACTGAAAACCTCCAATCGATGTAGTGGTTTTAAAAGAATATAAGACTTGAAAATGAGTATGGGCACAGTGTCATTAGTAAACATAAGTGATATATATAACTAATAAAATAGAGCTTCTAAGGTTCAATAATACGCGTCTTAATTTTCGATTTATCTTAAAGTTGGCTTCAGTTGTAAACGACGTTTTTAGTCACTACTGAATATGTTTATCTATAAACCAATCATTTCCTCTTATCTCCCCTTAAATGTTCCAACATATCAAATAACATCTGCCACTAGTAATACATATCAAAATTATCATGGGATTTACTTCTAAATTTTTACTTTTCTAGTTTGTTTTCATCATTTGTAGATGTTGATGGTTGTTTATTTAAAAAAGCTCGATGATTTCATTTTTATCCGTTTTTGTTTCATGATAAACGCGAGATCTTTTTTCGGATCAATGATATTACTTTCATGGCTAGCGATAGCTCTCGTCATGAACTAATATCAACTAAAGGATCGGTGAATATTATGAAGTAATGGATAGATTTATGTTTAGTTCGGACTATTACACAGCAAATTACACTAAGGACTTTACATAGAGCCGAGTTTAGGAAATTGAAGTCTTTCCATGTACATGATTTATTTAATGGACCGAAATTTCGACTTCATCGAATGTGCGATATAGCACAAATATTTTATGAAACACACCAGCCTAATTCAACAAATAATTTTTGAAACTGTAATAATGAGTGTTATTAAAGTTGTTTTTGGGCTATCAACTAATTCTAAAAATCGATTTTCTCTGTACTTGAGATTCGCCGTTTGGATTTACCTGGATCGCTGTACTGATTTTCACACTAAGATTGGAATCAGCTGATATCTATGTACATTTCATTGAAGAGTTTCAAATAGGACGAAACCAGTATTCCAGATTTCATTGCTAACCTCAATTCAACATTAATAATACATGCGTTTAAATTGAAATACCAATAAAATTCAATAAAGTAGGACATAAGTCAATATCAAATGATCAATTACAGTCCATAACATCAACGGCAAGAAGACACGAACTGTCAAATTTTCGATAACTTAGAATCTTAGAGTTTACCATAATTAGTAACTGATTAGTATCTGACATTTATCATGTTTTTATGAAATGGTAGTTTTGATTCCATTGAAACTTGGAATTTAATAATACTGGGTCAGAACCCTGTCTCCATATTGACTACGTAATTAACAAAAAATACACATATCTTCAGTAAGTAACAGAAATTGAATCATTACTGATTAATGATATGCTTCACTAATGTCATCTGATTAAAATAATTTAATAAAGTGATTTCAAACAACATATGAAAAGTAACTACATTTAAAAATGCTAGTTTAATGGTTTGAAGAACTTCAGGTCTCATGTTCGATTCCAATGTAAATCCATTGGGTTTGCTAAGCCGATATTTTCAAAAACACTGATTTATTACTTCTAATGTGGTGTGGGTTACTGAATACGACATAAGTAGTATAAGGTAATGGTCGGGCATTTAATGTATTTCAGTAGAAGATCAATAAGGAGAGAAAAGGAACGGCACGCAATTGGTACGAAAATGCATGAACAAATAGAATCAGTGACCATGGATGAATATTTGCAAAAGAAACATTCAAATTGAGACAATTGATTGTTATTTTGCAAATCAACTGTTCATTATATGGTTTTCATATTTTACTGCGATATTCTGTAATGTTGTGCTAAAATGCATTCGATTGTCCCCACCCGTGTTTTGGTCACTATAGCTGAATAAATAACACTAAACAATCACCAGTTAAATGTTTTCAAGGTACGTTCTAGTTCAATGTTCTTCATTAAACTCTAACATATCCTCAATCGGCATATGAATTAAGGCACATTTCAAGTTTAAAACTATTATTTCTATTCATTTATAATAGTTTTAATCACAACACTTTTCTACCACTTTGTTTTATCTTAATTCATTCAAGGACATCATTAATGCAGCTTTAGTAGAAATACCTTCAATTATTTATCAATTACCATGTGAATGGAATGTTCAACTTACATCTAATATGAATATAAAATTATGTCAAATAATTTGGTCAAATGACTATTCAATTCATAATGTACAGTCTTTTCATTCAAATCCATTTGAATCATTTAATTATCATTTAAAAATAGCCCATTTTAATCATCCAATTAAAGCAGATATCATTACATTGAATGAAATTATAGATGATGATCAATTACGTAAGTTGATGAATAGATTATATTCAACAAAGATCTCCTTCTTTTATGTTGTGATAGTATTTACGATTGAATAAACACATAGACATATATAAACATAAAAACAAAATAACCATCATAGTTCAGTAAATTGAAACAATAGATCTTAGTGAAGATATCGAAGTTGTTAAGAAGAAGAATGAAACATCAGAAGTAACGAAAGTACAAATATATTAGGTGATAAGTAAAAACAATGAATAAAGTTAAATAATCAATACTATTCTTAAATTACATCAAGTGAGCAAAGATGGATAGTGGCTAACAGTGGAATCCAGGACGCCCATTTCGTCCTATTTATGGCTCATCAGCTGGATGTACCTGCATCTCAGAGTTGATGTTCACTCTGAGACTCGAACCTAGTGCCAGTCACTTCAAACATCATCGCGTTATCCAATCAGCTACTGAGTCCCAATAGCCACTTGCTTGAGCAAAGGGGTGAAGTTTAAATTCACTTAGTTGCAGTTCTAAACATCAATGGAAAGATTCAAACAAACAATATCAAGTGAATTTATACATCAAGTAAGGTTTACAAAATATTAGATCATGATATTTTATTGAGGTAGCTAGAAAAGATCACACTCTTTTTAATTGACTTAGAAGAACATTTAGTGACTTGATGAAAGATTTAAACAATTCAATGTGAAGATGTTTTACGTGGTTCGTGGAAATCAATTCTGAAACATTAGAGAAGAAACATTTGACAGTCAGCTGTTTCGTCCTTGTTTTGTGCTTTCATGATTACACATCCAAGACCTATACGAAGTCGATTTTAAAACTACCTGGATCGCTGACGAACGCGGTAGCTGTAGACAATTAAATTTATAGTTTAATTCGACTATCATCTACTTTTAATAATGCTCTTTGATTAAGAATGAATTCTATCAGCTACAATTTCTTACTTCAATCTCAGAGATCTTTTATCAGTTGTTCAGTGGTACCAACCTGTAACAAAAAACAATTGTATTTTTTACAATTTGACGTTTCGATGATTTCAATTAACTCTATACATCATGGAATGCCCTACACTGAAACACTATGTAAATAAAACGTATATTATAAACTACTACTGAAATGCATTACTTTGTTGTGTTTTTTTTCAGGTCTAAGATTAAAACGACAATTTATGAGAATGTATCGTTATTATCAAAATTTTGATGGAACAATAGTTCAATCACCAGGGAAACTACCATCATGTTCAGAATACTACAATCCTTCTACTTTCACTCGTAAAGTAATTTAGTTTACTTTTTTTGAAAATAAACTTAAATATAAATTTTTATTTCTCATGAAAACATAAAAATCTATTACACTTATTTCATGTAATTTTTGTATAGTACCCGGTTCTTTATTATGTTCATGTGTAGTGAACAAGAACACGGGAGGGGACAATCGAATGGATTTTAGCACAAAATTACAGAATATCTCAGTAAAATATGTGAACCATATAGTAAATATTTAATTTATAAACTATCAGTCGATTGTCTCAATCTTCACTGTTCCTTCCGTAAATATCAGTCCATCGTCTTCGATTATTATTGTTCATGCATTTTCATAACAGTTGTGCTTCGTACTATTCTTTTGTTATCTATCTTTTACTGATATACATTCAATGCCCGACCGTCACCATATACTACTTATGTGGATATAAGTAACGCACACCACAAATTTACTACGATGATAGAAATCAGACATCTGAATTATTTTAATTTAAAATGGTTCTTTCTAAGGATTCATATTTTTTAATAAATGCTATTTAACAAATTTAAAGACATTAAATTCTTTAGATCAGTAATAACTTCTTGATTGAAATCATCAATCAATCAATGTTAGATCACTATTGAAAATCTGGAAGTACTGAACGACCGTTCCGTTGTAGTATTAAACTCAGCTGTTCACATCACTCTCCGGCACGCGAGACTCGAAACCAGGTTTTTCGGCCTGGTGTTAACGCCTAACGTCTAGCCCACTGAGTAAAATACTTGTGGTAATTGGGATGCTGCTCAGAAGCATAAACAGAAACATGTGGTTTTCTTGGAGTTACACCTTCAGGCTTTTGGCCTAAATGTCTAAACCACAAGTCACCAGTGTAACATCAATATCTGTCATCTTCTGGTTTTCTATACCTGCATAATTAAAATCAATTAATAATGTTATAACTCAACAATCTCCACAACCCCATATTGATAACAATTACTTCATTTTGTAACGTTACTAATTATTTACATGTTATTTTTGTAATTTACTAAACGGAATAACATATTAAAATTTTATCAAGCTAAAACTGTCAATAGTCAAGACTATATTCTCATCCTTATTACTCTCCATAACAGTTCACGGCTAAGCGTTGATTTAGTTATCTATACTGTCCCACACATTTTTTGGATTTAACTGAAAGATAATGTTATTTAATACCTAACAGGTTGATTTTGTCAAAATTAAATCGGTATGAACTACACTGATTAGAAAACTGTAAAAAAGAAAATATTTAGTTTAATAGACATTAGTTTCACATCTTTACAAATTACTGTCTATTCAATAAGCTCAGTGATTAAGACAATCGACTTTTGACCAATTAAATCAAAGTCTGTCAATATCTACTCTCAGATGAATTGCCGAATAGTATCTCTGTCCATTATGTAAATAAGATTGAGTTCAAAAATTTTAACATGATAAGTTATTCTTTCCATTAGTACTTTTCTGTACAAATATAGCATGTGTTATTTTCATATTTTTTCGAACAGATTAACCAAACAAATTCCAAAAATACCATCACAATTGATGGTTGTGAAGAATTTTCAGAAGATTTACTCAAAACACATCGGATGCATCCATATTATTATAAGTATAACTTTTCTACTTTCACAATGAAGGATAAAGAAAATGTAACAAATATGAAAAATCACGTTAGCCTTGTTTCACAATTAACTTTTGATAGGTAATTAAAAATGCAAACAAAATTTTCTAATATTATTGTTACTAAGGCTATTTTCTTAATTTCTGGTTTTTTATAAGTCATATTGAAACTATGAGTTACACACAAAAATTGATAGTGGCTAACAGTGGAATCCATGACGTACGTTCCGTCCTATTTGGGACTCGTCAGACGGATGTACCTGCATTTCAGAATTGATGTTCACTCTTGGACTCGAACCCAGTACCGTTCACTTCAAATGCCATAGCGTTATTCACTTAACTGCTGAGTCCTGATAGCCACCTGCTAGCCGTTATCCATCTTCGCTTATAAAGCCTCTGACTTCAGGCAATATGAAGGCAGTCCGCACAAGATGCACATATGCCAACAAGAGACTGATCAATTGCAGTTTTAAATAACAGTGGAAAGATACAAGTGAATATGAGTTACACAATTAAAATACTGGTCGATTTCAAATACATAGATAAAAGGTTGATGGGAATTTAACGTTTGTGGAAACTTGAAAGTTATATAAAGCAAGCCAGAACTTTTTTCTCACTGTCCTAATTTGGATGTTTTTACTTTCACATTATTTATTACTTTCGGATTGTAGTTACTAGTGTATGAAGTGTCGATGTTTGTAATAATAGATACTGGGTTAGCGATCCAGTGTAGTCATTAAAATTGAGGTTGAGGGATATCCGTCTGATCTTTCTCAAATAAAACATATCATAGATACTGGATTCCTTTTCAAACCACAATCTATATGCACTGAAAATTATAGAAGAGTAGAAATTTCAATGTTCAGGATCTATCGATATTAACAAAGGCTTACTGAAATTCAGTTTCAAATATCAACAATGGAATAATTCCATACCATATCGAACATTATTACAATTAAATTTACATACCTATTAGAACTGCTTTTTAGTGAAAAACAGTTCAAAATCATGAGAATAACCCATTGAGTTACTAAAAAAGATGAGGATGTTTCAGTGAAGAGATTTTTCATTTTTGACTATGTAGTTGACCTGTTCTTCCTATAATATATGTTCTATATACAATATTGTAGAGCCTTTATACCTGGGCTTAGGTGCATGACTTCTAATATATTAACGTTTCGTTTTATCAGAAGTTATGCAAGGGGAAAGATGTGAATGAAGTGGATAGTTAGTATATGACATGATGACACTTGCCAATAATTTGCAAGATTTTAAATATTTATCTACAACCATATTCATAATAACCTCAAAAGATTCACCACACACTCTACTAACTGACTTCAGTAGTCTCAGAAACATAGTGATCAATAATAAAATAAGGGATCGTTAGAGTCAGTAATTGAGGTGCTAAAAGTTAACCGAAATTTATCGGTACGTAATGACCAAATGATAATAGGAATGTGAAGAACATACAAAAGTGAGGTATAATAGGTTGTCTACATGATGATTATAATAAAGATAATAAACAGAAAGCATAAACACATCAGCAAATGGCTAAGTAAATATGAAGAAGTGTAAAATCATGGTAAATAAAAGGACTGGATATATCTCTTCTGAACACAGCGACCACAGTCGAATTGATGAATCACGGAGGTTCTCTCCGTACACAAATTTCTTAGCCAACATCCTTTAAAACCAGTTCTTTTTACACTGTGAATATTTCTGAGTGAAGAATTTAATGGAGATAAATGACCAGAACTAACTAGATATTCAACAATCGAGCTATTGACTAACTTGCATTTACATTTCGATAATCATGCTGAAAAGTTTTCAGATATGTGTTTGGAAAAAGCACTCTTTGCTAATGACTCAACAATTCCTTATTTTATTACGCACCTTCTTTTTTTTCATAAATTTTTGTATTTGCAGATTGCATCGACTTGAAGAGCTTGCAATAAGATGGCTTGGACCAATGAGTTTAGCACTGTATTTAACCGATAGAGAGGCAACATTGTTGATAGAGTATATTACAAATTCTCGAATTCTACAAAATCGTACAAATATTGGTTATCATATTGTATATGTAGATGGAGTGAGTATAATTACTTATATTATTATAGCTCTAACGACAGAACAATTTTATCATTAAAAATTGGTTTATTATTAGACCTATGAATAAGATTTTATTAGAAACATTGAAATTACATTTACAGTGTAATAGGGATATTTATTTCGAAAATATTCTAGTTACTTTGCAGTTAAAAGAAGCGACACTGGAATCTTTAAGGATTTCAAATTTTCTGTTGCTGATGTTTAGGTTCATAAGGGATAGATTTGTGTTGCCATATATACATTCTGAGTAAAAATTATGGCAAGCTGTTCAAGATTCATATACGGTGACAAAGAGAGATCAAATGTAGTCATGATTACCAACAACACTAATTGATTTTGCGTATGAATGACCTTACAGACTAATGCCTATCCGATCAGATTTCAGTCGTCTGTTCTATCAATCATTAGTTTGATGTGTTATAATCACTGTATAGAAGTAGTATTTCTACAGAATATACAGCTTTAAAATGATGATAATTTGTGGCACCTTTTCAAACCTTTATGAATATACCAAGAACGTAACTTTATTTAACACACTTGATTAGTATCCGCCTTATTATTAAGATATGATGCCATATTTGCCGTCTATTAAATATTAAGTGGCAATTGCTAGAGTTTGCGTACGTAACCTTACTTGGCTTTATTGTACAGAAAATATTATTAATATTGAGTAAACTAGTTTTTATCAAATGTTAAGGCTACTGGGTATTTTTCACTTTTGATATTTAGTATCTTTGTTGAAATATATTATTCTCATACCGTATGATTCGACAAAACACAAAATATGTTGTTGATTACATCGAACACACTTCCATCAAATGTTTTATGTTCAAATAATGCTATATATACATACTGATGTTTTTGAGATTTTAATTAGATAACCATGCTTGTGAATTAAGGTATATCGAGGCAATACGCACAGTATGCACATATGCCAATTAGAGACTGACCAGTTGCAGTCCTAACAAATCGATGGGAAGATTCAAACAAACAATACTAAGTTGAATAATGAATGAAGTATCTTACATTCAAGATCTGTGTTGAATTATGAGCTAGAAAAGGTTGATTTAGTCAACATCCTATTTTCAATGAAAATAATTTACATTGTGTTATTTAGTTACTGTTAAACGACACTAGTTCTCTACGCTTTTTATTATCACAATAATCAGAAAATTATTCACAACTTCAATGATAACAGAAATAGTAAAAGTTATAAATTTATATCTTTAGTTCATTAGGGAAACTCTTGAAAGACACATAGGGAAACAACTTCAAACAAAAAAATATGAATTTTGTCAATCCAAGAAAATGATGAATATTTTAAGTGTTTTTAATTCATTTAGAATAATAATGTTTATGTAAAGCGAATTGAATAAGTAAATACAGTCGAACAATTCAATCATTGAAAACACCCACATATTTACAATTTATACTATAATATCAGCAGAAGGGGTTTTGTGGAGACTGGTTGGTCCTGGGTTCGAATCTCACGAAGCGAGATCGTGGATGCGCACTGCTGAGGAGTCCCATAATAGGACGAGTTGTCGGTCCAGGGCTTCCAGGTTTTCCATGGTGGTCTACCTTCAATTGACTCACGCTACCAACTATGAAAATACTATAATATTAATAAATTTACAAATGAAGAAATCTCGGTATTTTATTACAAAAACTTAATGAAACATGTAGTGTAATAAAATGTAATTTTCAATTTTCAGTCTTAAATACAATCATAGCTACACTCTGATAAGTCTTCTAATTGAACGCTAAGCTCTTCTAGTAACCTCTAGGCTAAATCTACACAACGAGAGACAAAGCAAACCATATAATGTGACAAATCAAGTCTTTAACTATTATTAATAAGTGATTACATTAAAAATTAAAGGTTTGTTTTATATGAGAATTTGATTGATTTACAAGTATGTATCAGAAAATTTTAACTTATTGACTAAAGAGTAATGTGTTTTTCACTTTGAGTTTGATTCAGCATAGTTTTCTTGTGTGAACAGTGATAGTTTCCGGAATAAAACTTGGTATCTTTCCAGGGTTACCTAATTTTTTTTTGATCAACCACCTGATGTTGAAAATTACTTTCTAATAAGAGTATCATATTTGTAAGACCATAGATTAACTTCATAGTAAGAAATAATGTTAATTAATAACTTTCGGTTCAAGATAAACAACACTTCGAGTTCCATAATAGATTATTATTTAAAATATTCTTTGTTTATCAAAACTGTATTCTTTTTAAGTAAATAGAAATATGAAAATTATGGGTAAATTCAAAGAAAAATTGATCCTTTGAGACAAATGATTTTTGGTAACATAATATTAATTATTATAAACATTTGAAATAGCAAACAATTGTCAGATACATTAAATAAAATCTATGTTATAACTTGTAGCCTGCCTGCGTTCTCATATAATATATGATGTGACGATGCTGCCAATTAGAGAGCAGTGATTTATTGATCGGATTAGTAACACACCAAACCCGTACTAATAGTCTAGAGCACTTGTCGGTCCTGCTTTCTGCCTAGCTCAGCCAGTAAAGTCCAGAATACCAATAACAGCCTCTGCAATATGAATCATCATATTTCAAACATACTGAGTTTATATACCAATCAAACTGACCATATCGTACCATAAAATAGAAAATAACATTTGTATAAAGTTTAGCCAAATGTGGCTGTGAATAAGAGGAACAGTAATCAATAAACTGGGGATATATCGTATAATAATAGTTCATAGGTCAAAGTTTAGCTTATCATAAGAGGGTCACAAATATAAATAGTTTAGTTACTTAACCATTATACAATAAGAAATATACACATCATATTGATTCATAAATAGTTCTTAGAAGTTATCATTCCATTATATTAAATAAACTATAGAAATGTAATTGAGATTTATCTATTTATCATATTATATTTCAGTTTCATTATTTACTAATCTTTTTCTTTTTTTTTCTTTTTTTTAAAAAAATAAAAAAAAAAGAAATTTTATCCGATCAATATATTACGTAATATTGCTATAAAATACTCAGTAACTAAATTTATTTTTCACATTGATATTGATTTTTTACCACAAGAAAATATCATTGATTCTATTGAGAAATCTATCAATGAATATTTTATACAAGTAAGTTAATTATTAATTAAAAGAAATTATATTTTATAAATATATTAATATTTATTTTAAACAAGACGTTAGCATTTAAGGAAGTTATAAGCTTGTTACTCCCAATGGAGCATAGGTCGTCGACTAACATTCTCCAACTCACTCTATCCTGGGCTTTCCTTTCTAGTTCTATCCAATTTTTGTTCATTCTTCTCATGTCTGTTTCCATTTCTCGGCGTAATGTGTTCTGTGGTCTTCCTCTTTTCCTTTGGCCTTTAGGATTCCAAGTGAGGGCTTGTATGGTGAATCAGTTGAGTGATTTCCTCAATGTATGTCTTATCCACTTCTAGCGCCTCTTCCTCATTTCTTCCTCTACTGGAATCTGGTTTTTTTCTCTCCCACAGTAGAAACAAACTAACTTATATATAATTCATCTTTCTATTGGTTATTTGAATTTTCTCATTGTTGTTTAGGACTACAATTGATCGGTCTCTTATTAGTAATATGTGCATCCTGTAAGTATTTCCACGATATTGCCTTAACTCACAAGTATTATAAGCATAAATGAATAGTGGTTAGGACTCGTATTTCATCTAATTTGTGACTCCTAGAGTCAACATAAACTTTGGGATGCCTTACATATAGATTGTATAAGTTATTTTCTGGAATAATTTTTATGAAACTGAGAGGATAGTTCAAAAGTTATATACAGGTGTATGAGTAAAGGCATTCTCTGCTCTAAAATACTTTTACCATGTTCTATAATTGTAAATAGAAGTTTAATGAATTCAGTTGTACAGAAGTTTTGGGTAAATTTTTATAAAAAATAATAATTTGACATTATAAGTAAGCGAAATATGTAAAATTTTGTAAAGATCTTCAAATGACTACCGTAAAACAAAATGGATTATTTGGATGAATAACTGTCTTCAATACCTTTATCTTCAGGCTCACTAGTAATGAGTCTATAATTGTTATGTTCTTCTATAAAGGCCAAAATAAGGCATGCTAGTTAATCAAACAATGTTTATGTTATAAGTGATCAACTTTCACATCTGTGACGGGATAAATATTTAAAGATAGTATTATATGTAAATTAGAAAGGTCATTAACTAAAAGTCAGAATGATTCGTTATAAAGTATCAAGTTCGAATGAATGATGATGAGACAAATCATGTGAATAAAATGCATATCTGGAGAACTTTGTCTCGTTCATGCAGAGAATAATAATAACATCGGTGAATAAAACATGTAATAAGAGAGGTGCTGTCAAGGTTATTATGACAGGAATTCATTTAAAATGGGAAATATGAATGCATAGATCTAGAAAAAGTCATAGCAGACATGAATACAAAAGGGACCGTAAGGGGCTAGGGAGGTTTGTAATATTCAGTTTAGGTATATGGTGATCCAATGTTCGACCAGGATAAACACATGGATTGAACATGCTTTTTTGGATATATAAGTTTGGTTTTCTGGAGTTGATCCAGATGGATTCAGCCATGTAGATAAGTAGATTGTTTGGAATTTGATACGAAAGAGAGAAAGCTTCATTTATTTTAATAGCATGTTCACTATCTATCATGTGAGAAATGAGTTGTTAAATAGGCTTCATATCTGCTTATTCCAGTCATGCCGGTAGGTGTTCAGGAGCACGCAGGGATAAACCCCTTTGAGTATGGTCTATGTAAGTAGCTCCACGAAAGCAGTTGAGTTGGGGCTATCTTCAGAGGAGGAGCCTATCATCGATAACTTATCCTTGAGTTGTTATATAAGTATTGGTTTGGTTGACAAGATTACGTGAAACTTGGTGGCTTGAAATATCCTTTCAATAGATCTTTTGAGTCAACGTATTAAAATGTCACCTGCTATGTTCCATATAAGATTGAGTTTTAGATTAAGGGTCTTCTCATTTACTGTGTCAGAGTTTGTTCTAACGGGATTTTTCTGACAAAGTTATCTGGACATCTATTATTTCGTAATGTATTCTTTAGCCTATCTATTTCACTATTTACACTATCCTCACAACATAATGGTTTTATACTATGGCTGAGACTTTTAATCAGAATTATTTTGTGCTGAAGAGGTGTAAATCTATGAGAATAGGTATACTGACCCACCCATATATTCTTACTGAATCAATTTTTTTAAGCGGAACTACCTATCCTTCTAGAAAGCAAGACACCATTGAAGACTATACTGTTATTAGTTTCCTCTTCACTAGTGAATTTAATATTTGGATGAACATCATTAAAACTGTTTAACAGCTCCATTCTATTAATATTTTTGTTGAACACGACAAGCGTGTGATATATACACCGATAGTAATAGTCTAGTTTATTCAAGATCTTTCAACTGTTTATTTTCCAGTTTTGCTAAAAAATACCAAGTACTTAGAAGCATAATTTACTCTTCATTCAATTTCATTCTACAGTTTCAATGGGGATTTAAAGAATTTATTGAGTATAACTTCACGACTATGTAAAGGGATTCATTCATTCATAATGATGCTTAGTTACAAGAGTTTTTATAAGTAGTAACTCGTGTTCTTTTTTCAAAAATGTTATATATTTTTTATTACTATAGAACAATCAATCACAAAATATTTGTTTAGTAGTGCCAGCATTTGAAACTTTCAAAAATCATTTAAAACTACCAGAAACAAAAGAAGATTTGTTAAAATCTTGGGAAATTGGAGAGATTTTACCATTTCGACATAAAATCTGGTCAGCTGGTCATATGTCAACTAATTATTCACATTGGAAATTGTCTAATAATGATTATGAAGTATGTTGATGTTGAAAAGATATTCAATCTTAATATATGTATTTTCAATATTACTGTAGTTAGAAGGGGTTTTGTGGAGATTTCAATATTTTTCAAAGTTGAAATCATGAGTCGATTGAAGCTAGACCACCATGGAAAACCTGGAAAACCTTCAAGATACATGTCCCGGAGTTCTAGTGAGAAGCAGTAACCATTGGAGTTCAACCACGTCTTTTGGGAGATATCAATTTCATGGATCGGTTGAAGTTAGACATTAACACCGATGGATACCGGCTCAGTGGTCTATCGGTTAAGAGTTATGGTTCGAGACTGGTAGGTCCTGAGTTCGAATCTCGCGAGTGCGGGATCGTGGATGCGCACTGCTGAGGAGTCCCATAATAGGACGAGTTGTCGGTCCAGGGCTTCCAGGTTTTCCATGGTGGTCTAGCTTCAATCGACTCATGATTTCAACTTCGAAAAATTACTGTAGTTACTTATACTATCCTTTGGTTAAGAAATTCAATCTATTTACTCTAAAGCACATCTTAATAAAAGTGTAAAATTAATATACAATGAGAGTTTAGAACACCTGATAAAAATTAACTAAAAGGGCAACGTTAAATGCGTTATTCTCCATCAACTGTTTGGTTTAAAAATAGTTTACTGGACTCTCATTGCTTCACAAATCAGAATTCACACTGATTAGAATCAAAAAGTCTAAAGTAGATATTCATATAAGAGACACACTTTCTTCATAATGGTTAACCTGAAGAATAGTATTTAGTGGCCAGGTATCTGACTCCATTTGGACTGTATAGTCGTTACTGAGTTATTAAAATGTACATCCCGGCTACCCTCGTATATTATTATAGACTTAAATTGAGTTAGTGAATAACGAAATTAAGTAAGTCAAACAGTGGAATAGATTTCGAATACGTATATTTCACACAATCATTAATCCAGACAGACGATCGAAGAAAGCGAGGAAAAGAGAACGAAGAGAAATGAAATGCAAAGGAGAAGACATGTAAGTCAACTCGAACTGATCAAGCGTGAATCAATATTTATAGTCAGACGAAAATGAGCTACAGACGTATAATGAGTAAGATAAGAAATGAACACAAATACGCTTACATAAAAACAGTCAAGGTTGAAAAGGGAATAATTAACAAGGTCAAAAATGTAACTAAAAAAGAATGAATAAATTGGCCTGTCCGGAAGCTAGAATAAGCTATGTGGACTTGCATAGCAACGAACACTACAGGTAAACCCTGTGATATCTTTTATACATGATATCTTTCTGTATTTTTTTCATATATGTTTCACAAGTTTTCCTTTAGAAATCCTATTTTAATACAATTTTGTTTCAATTCATATGTGTCTATGATTTGCTAGATGGATTCACTATACACTTGCATTCATAAATATACATTAAATGTTATACTTCATCTTTCTTTGCAAACTTGTAGACTGTTGGTTATTTAGTAGATTATATTCATTCAGAATATAACATAATTTAGAGTGTCTGCTTTAGTATGTTTAGATGATAGATTTTGTCTGTACTCAAGTTAGTGAATGAAGCTAGAACTGACAAAGTACTGGTATGTATTCATTTTTCTCTATTGTTACCGAACATTATGTTTTTATATAGTACATCTTCAAGCTATTGACTTAAGAGATCATGCATTCTTGTTTATATATACTAGAAGGTAGAGAGACAATTTCAGTGATCATTTCAACGATTTATCTTGAATATTAAGTAAGGAAATCTACCCACCTAGACATAGTGTTAGAGTGATTATTGGTCACCTTGAACTTCCAGATTAATGAACTGAGTAGAGTTGCATATTGGGAATCAACCAACATTCAACATACAAAACGTTAGTTATTTATATTTTAGCCATGTCGAACTTCTTACAGTAGAATTAAATACAAGAACTTCCTTCATTCGTATCAGTAATTTTCGAGTAGCTTTTTTAATACTCACTCAAATTTTTGACCAGTTAAATCAGTAAACAAAATAGGTTGGTTTTTCATCTTCATAATGATGTATAACCTTCACCTGTAATAATATTTTGTAATTTGTTTGATGCTTTTCATGTTTTCTCTGTTAAAGGTACAATGGTCAGCAGATTATGAACCGTATGTGATTGTCTCACGTCATACAACAATGTTTGATGAAATTTTCATTGGATTCGGTTGGAATAAAGCCTCATATATTATGGCATTAGATGCATTAGGGTATAAATTTATTGTTTTAACCAATGTATTTCTTATACATTTACCTCATCCACCAAGTTTTGAAGTGTTTCGTTATAGAATGAATTCAGTTTACAGGTGAGTTATTTAAAAGTTACCTTCAATTATAGTAAAATCTCATAAGACTCTGTATTGGATTCTATATAAAAATTAATTACCTACACTTACTGGCTTTCGTTTGTCAGCTTACACAAAAATATAACCAAAGTAAATCGAAAACGTCAGTTGATATTACCGAAACATGATACCCGAACACGTTCAAAGTAAAGAATCTTTTGATATATATTTATTGAGATACAACATCTGAACACTGTCTAGTAAAGTTATTTCATTTTTCAGGAAACAAATATCCGTCAATACTAAAGATTAGTGTATGACGATGTTGATTATACTAGAGACTACTCTGGAAAGTATAAGCTAAGTAGTCCAGTCTCTTCTAAAGATAATGAACTCTGCGCGTCTGAGGTCTTCAGAAAAAAAAATCAAGAAGAATGTGCAACTTGTATCTGCTAAGCTAATTTTGCTAATCACCATCTTGATTAGGAGTACGTATTCAATCTGAAAGTCAATGGTTTAACTGCAAATATTAGAGATAAACAGAGATATATAATTACTGAAATATTTTGTTATAGCAGTCCAATGTTAAACGTTTAGTAATTAGTTAACGATCCTCAATAAATTATCGAGTTAATTTTATTAGTCCTATGACGATTCGACAACTAATTTTTAATGTAATATTCGTCACACATATTCACCAATAGAATCCAATCATCCGATTTTTTATCAGAAGGGGTTTTGTGGAGATTTTAGTAATTTTATAGAGTTGAGATCATGAGGCAATTGAAGCTAGACTACCATGGAAAACCTGGAAGCACTGGACGATACTTTTCTAAGTTTATTCTGAGTAGAGAACATGCATTTAATTTCATTCTCATAAGACAATTTCCTCGAATTTTTAACAAATGTAACGAAGTTGAGGATTGGATATGAAACTTCATCAGTAATTTAGATATTTTCCAAATCTGGATTCTTTTACAGACGAACTTACTTTGATTTCAAGTAATTTCGCACATTGTTCACAATTAGATATTGTGAATTATTAAATATGATATCATTGATTATAATATGTCATTTAAATCATAAGACTTTTAAGTTTCTGATTTAGTTTCAAGTGTAGTCATAGATGTATACTACAAACAAGTTTAAAACAAATGAGGTATATCCTGGAGTTCTAGTGAGAAGCAGTAACCAGTGGAGTTCAACCAGGTCTATTGGGAGATATCAACTCACTGAAGACAGTGGTGGACAGTTGCTCAATTTCATGGATCAGTTGTAGTTAGATATTAACACCGTTGGATGCCGGCTCAGTTGTCTAATGGTTAAGTGCTTGCACGTGAGACTGATAGATCTGTTTAAATCTCGCGAGTGCGGGATCGTGGATGTGCACTTCTGAGGAGTTCTACAATAGGACGAAACGGCCAAGCAGTGCTTCCGGGTTTTCCATGGTAGTCTAGATTCAATTGACTCATGATCTCAACTATCTAAAACGGAAGAATTGTTTGGTGTCTTCCAGTCTTTAATGCTTTTTCAGATAACCTAAAATCTACATATAAGCTAACTTCAAAACAAACATTGTTCATTAATCCCTAATTTTAATGATTATGTTTAAAAGTTTAATGTGTAGTATTTATATGAAAAAGAAACTGTTTAGACTTACCGAAAGAAATAGTTGTTTTTGTTGGAGTTTTTTTCTCTTAGCTGGATGGTTTGGTCATGGAGCTCTCATCGTTCTTTTTAAAAATATCGTTAGCACAAACTTCTGGTAGAAGTGAAGTGTTTGAATTTTTCCACATTTAGTTCACAGCTTGTCCTGTACACATCGATATTGTCTTATTTAAAAATAATAAATTTTTCAATTATATTGTATTTATATTTACTTTTAGATCATGTATTGACAAATTGAAATTGGATTTTATTAAACGTCTAGCAAAGCAATATGGTGTACAAGCTTTAAAATATCTTCAATTTCGTAAAGATTCCCAAATAAATTAAAAATAAAACAAAATATATCTAGTTGAATGAACATAATATTAAGTCAAGTGATCACTCTTGGCATAAATATTCATCAACTAATATTATTTCCTTACGCCTGTTACCCCTCTTGAAAGAAACATTGACCGCCCGCCAGTATCCAACCCTATCCTGGGTAATTCTTTCTAGTTCGTCTTCATCCTGTTCATATATGCTTCTATTTTAATCAACCAATATGCTTCAGTTAAAATACCTCGTTCAATTAATATAAACAAAAAAGATTATAAGATGCAAAAGGAAAAAAACAAAAGAAAATTATTACCAGATCCAGTATTCTCTATCCGATTACAAAAAAGAAGATCAAATTAAACATGAAATAAATTTTTTTTAATGTATTTCAACTTGTAAATGAATATGGATAGTAACACCTTTTTTATGTATATTATGAATAGACGGTATGTTTATAATATATAAAGTATGGACAGAAATTCCTTCAAGGGAATATACTTTACTGACAGTTTTAAACATGTATAAATCTAACAAAATCTTTATTGTTTTCAATATTGAATAAGATTTCTTTTATAATAATGAATGGATTTTGAAGATTGTTCATTATGTTGATCATATCATGGAAGAATAATAACTAGGAAACTTTAGAAATCAGATAACACTATGCAGTTTTTTTTTGCTTCAGTATAAAACTACTGTAGTACCGTGCTTCGTTAATCGTTCACCTCGATAACCGTTATAATACAAATCTTAACGGTGCATAAAATTAGAAGGCAAAGAGAAGTGGCAAGTGCAGTTTTATTGACAAATGACGCAGGCCAGAAAGTAACAAGTACATGAATAGATATCAGCGAGCGAAGTAAAAATGACACGCATTGGAGATGGCGGGAAAGCTAACTCGCTTTATCAAGCGTTAATCAATACTTATAGTCAGATATAAATAAATGACAGATATGTAATAAATAGGATAAGAAGTGTACACACACATACGCTTATATAAAAAATAGTCAGGGTTAATAAGTGAATAATTAACAAGGTCAAAACGGGACTCAAGTTGGATAGGTAAATTGGCTTGTCCAGAAGCTGGAATAAAGTGTGTGAGCTTAACACACCAACCGACGTTACACTTCACATCATTCTATACATATAATATCGAGAAGTTTGAAGTTACTGAGTTCGATTCCTGTTGTTAGGTTTATGAGCATCCATTACCAGAGTTATCCCTACTAATATATGACATTGTTTTATCCTACTTGGTTTTCTACAGTCCTACAGATAGCCTTAATAATTATAAGTAATTTCTAATTTTAATGATCAAAGAATAATTTGAACAATCATTTGAATTCACTTAGTAATGTTTGTTTAAATCTTCCCATTGATGTTTAGGACTTCAACTGTCAATCTCAAATTGGCATATGTGCGTACTGTGCGTATTGCCTCCATATAGCCTTAATTCACAAGCATTGTAAGCAAAGATGGATAGTGGCTAGCAGTGAATATCAACTCCGAGATGCAGGTGCATCCAGCTAACGAGTTCAAAATAAAATGAAACGCGCGTTCTGGATTCCACTCCTAGCCATTATCCATCTTTGCTTACACTCATCATTTGGTTTTTGATTTACAACTAAGTGAAAATTAACTTTTGATCAGGTAACATGCTTTTTAGATCGCAAAAAATATCCAAGAGTTTTACAAAAGTCAATAACAAGCTTTATTTTGGTTTATGTGTGACTCCTTTTTTTGGAATGAATAAAACATTTTTTCCAGTATTTTGTAGAAATATCAGTTTCATTTGGATCATTTCAAAGTCAACTTGAACGTTCGTTTTAGTAAACATTATGAGAACTATAATAAGCCCTCCTAAAGATCAATAAATGATTTACTGAATATGGCAATTAAACTTTCTAGATCCTGTAACATGTTAGTTAGAGTTACATTCAGCAATATGGTTAATGTTTGCACTGAAATTCAAACTCAGTACTACTTGCTTGTGATTCCAACGTGTTATTTGCTAAGCTACTGAGTTCGAATAGTAACTAAAGTATTCAAAGAGTATGAACATATCAACAAGCGTTTTTAACTTCCTTTTGTTGATGTTTGGGACTTCAAATGACTAGTGTTTATTGCTGTGCGTGCATGTTAAGGCGAATTGCCTAAAAATTGAGTCTTTTATTTCACTACTAGTTACTTACGAAATATACTATAACGTGTGACAAAAATGTATATCCGTGTAATTCTCTCAGAATGAATTTAAGGCAATATAAACTGACCTGTTTCATTCCTGAATTCAACATCAAGAATACTAACACAGTGACTTTCAATCATTATTACTTAGGGACTGTCGTTTAATTCCAATTTAGGGATCATAATACAGAATCACTATAAAAAGTATGTTTGCAAAACGGATTATTTACATTGAATACGTGTATGAATCAATCATCAGAAACATGTAGTTATTCAAGCCAGTCAAAATCTAGATTTCACTCATATCTTCATTTTTTAACAAATCACTTCTGGAACTATAATTACCTCTAGAATGTTTGTAAAGCTTATTCGAAGCTACTGCTATAGAATGTTCTTAACATGTTCGAAGTATAAGAGGCTTGATCATGCAGCATGCTACTATACAGAACACCTACACTCGACGGTTTATTTCAATTGCCTTTCGAATAAATAACATTTTTATGATCTTCAATCATCAGATCTAAGGACTGAGACTTGAAAATTATTGCTTCTGACAGCTTAACCGTATTTGTATCAACAATTAAGCTGCAGTCAACCTACATCTAGAATCAAAGTCAACTCTTCAGAACCTAACTTTTCAAAGTATTTAGCACACAAGATGCTTAAAATTTATGCAATGTTGAAAATGAATACCAATCATTTAAATTTTGAGACTTTAAATCTGAAAAGAAAATCAGAGTTCACCCATAATTATGGATAAGGTTGATATTTTAACACAAGTTAACTAAACGTTAACTAGGTATGCTAACGTTACTGTCGTTAAATTTGAAGGTAATGTTGTCAGTCCATTATGTGAATGAGATGCTTTGTGTTATGAAATTCCAAAATAATACAAAATATATGATTATTGGTTCAGCTGATCTGAGGTGATGATGCAAAACAGCCCCTAAGATATATGAAACATTCACAATCATTTTAAAAATTAATTATCGAGGTGTTCAGTAGTGACTAGTTTTATAATATAGTTAAGTTGTCCAGTCAATCAATCGAGTATAAGTCAGTCATCTACAACTTAGGACCAGGAACATATATGCTTCTGTCCAAGTTGCCAAAACTCATTAGCACAACAAGATGAACGTCAAATTCATAAAAATAGTTACTTCAATGGTATTATTATATAAAAGAAAGACTGCATATAAGGATATGATACAGTGACAAGGAATTAGTTTGTAGAAAGAAAGATATAAAGTGATTTTAATCTCAAGGTTTTAAGGGAAGACAAGAAGTGTATACACCTACACCATTGTGATCGATTCCGAGCCATGTCACACAGAGTCTCAGACCACTGGTTACGACAGTCGTGCGGGCCCCAACCAAGTAGTCTGCATCTACCAACATTGCTCAAACGAGAAGTTAGTAACTTTATGGACTGATTTCACGTTTAGGTTTGACCGCTCCCAACTTTCTTCCATCCGTCTGCAACACTAGTCAGCATTGCGCTCCATGATATTCGGTGGTTAGACATGCGCAGTACATAGCCCAACCAACTCAATCAGTGAAGATTTACAATCTTATCAACT